CGAAAATGATTCAATTATACAGGAGAAGCCACTGAAATGTACCAGGAAGTAGGAGCAGGTATATATGTTAACTGAAGGCCCATTAAATAGCAGAAAAATACTGTCACAATTGAGTCACGGAAACCTACTTCCCGTATTATAGAATCTGCACATTCTACTGAGAACTATCACTCTTTTTTTTTTAATGATTATGCCACTAGCAGGCTACTAGCATCAATTTATTAATCCTCTGAGAAGAAATAATGTCTTTCTTATGAGCAGTGAAAACTTATAGAGAGGAGAAATTTCAGTTCAGGCTACACTATGAAAAATGATTTCCTCATTTCCCAAAATGTCAGAGAGAGACTTGAAAATGGATAAAGTCCTTTGTTCTAATTACAAGTGAGCCTCTCAGCCACAATTTATTCCTAACGCCAAAATTGAATGGCACAGAGGTCCTGTGACTTTTAAGTGACTGAAGCTAATTTTCCAGAGCTGTGTAATTAGCAGGAATGATATACTCAAACAATTATTATAGAAACTCTCTGATAATAGTGAAAAGCTACAATTGGGGCTGGGAAGGTGGCTCAGTGGTAGAGTGCTTGCCTCACATGCATGAGACCCTGGGTTCGATTCCTCAGCACCATATAAGCAGAAAAAGTAGGAAGTGGCGCTGTGGCTCAAGTGGTAGAGTGCTCGCCTTGAGCTGAAGAGCTGAGGGACAGCGCCCAGGCCCAGAGTTCAGTCTCCATGACTGACCGAAAATAAAGCTACAATTAATAAGCTTTGCATCCATGACAGAACCTAGGATTTACAAGGAGCTAAATATTAAAGCCCCACAAGGATCATTATGCAGTCGTGGAATAGGCTGCCACCTACTATTTCATAGCCTACTTAACATGATACAAATGACTAACAAAGCTATGAAAAAGTCCTCAGCTGTCCCTAATTCATATGCATATTCTGGAGGGGGTGTTGGTTTCTGTTTTTTGTTTGGGGAGTTTGACGGAACTCAGGGCCTTGATCTTGCTAAGCAGGTGCTCTATTACTGAGAAGCCCTTGTTTGTATTGGTTATTTTTGAGATAGGGTCTCCATTTCTCCCAGCGCCTGGACCAAAGTCCTCCTCCCGTAGCTGAATGACAGGCACATGCCCCTACGCAGAGCTTCCGCCTCTAAGATTGAGTCTCACAGACTCGTCTACCTCCATGGCCTGAAACCATGATCCCTCCCATCACAGTGTCTCAGGAAGCTAGAGTGAGATTTATGCCAACATGTCCAGCTGTTGGTTTCTCCCAGACTTTCTGTCCTGAGTGGCCTTTCCAATCTCAGCCTCCCAAGTAGCTGGGATCACAGCACGCACCACTGTGGCTGGCAATTCATCCAAGTACGGAGAGGTAGTAAAGAAAAGAGAATCCTAATGCACGGTTGATAAGAATAAATTAGTACAAAAATATGGTAATATTCAAAGTAGAACAGCCGTATGATCCTGAGCATATACCCACAGTGAAACAGTATGCCAAAGAGACACCAGTGGTCACAAGTTGTTGCAGCACTGTTCACCAAAGCCAAGAAACAGAATCGATCTAAATACCCTCAACCAATGACTGGGTAAAGAAAGTGTGGGACATTAAGTACAATGAAGTATTACTCAGTCATAAAATGGATGAAATCCTTTTCTACAAAACAAACAAACAAACAAAAAACATGAGAAGCTGGATGCCAATGGGTCACAGCTCTAATTCTAGCTACTTGGGAGCAAGAGATTGGGAGGATGTTTTGTTTGTTTGTTTTTGCTAGTCCTGGGGCTTGATCTCAGGGCCTGGGCACCGTCCCTGAGTCTCTCGGTACTCAAGGCTAGAACTCTACCACTTGAGCCACGGCTCCACTTCTGGTTTTTTCTGTTTATATGGTACTGAGCAATCGAACCCAGGGCTTCCTGCAGGCTAGGCAAGCGCTCTACCATGAAGCCACCTTCCCAGCCCCTGTGAGGATCCTGATCTGAGCCAGCCCAGGCAGTGAGAGGCTCAGCCTCAGACCTGCCATCCCAGTTATGACAGGAAACCACAAATAGGCAGTTCGTGGGCCAGGAGCACACCTAGGGGCAAATGAAACTCCATCTCAAAAATAATCAGCACAAAAACGAGCTGGATACATGGCTCAGCAAGAGCAAGGCCCTGAGTTCAAACCGGTTTCATATATCCTTAAAACTGTAACATATATACAGAGAGAGAGAGAGAAATCTTCATGGATATGACAACACAGATACATCCATTACACAAGAGTATCTGTAATTATGAACGAAAATTCCCCAAAACTGCTTCAAAATGTCACGATTGTATAATAAAGAAAAAAAAAAAAAAACTAACTCATTTCACTACTCAGTTTAATTGTATCCCACCAAGGAAAACTAAAAAGGAATTCCACATATTTGTACCAGAAGAAAAATTTCTCCAAACATGTGCATTAATCAAGGGCAATGCTGGTAGCTGTAATTTTTATCCTGTGGCTAATCCAAAACTCAATAAAATCGTAAGTTCCTGGTATATATAAAACTCAATGATAGAATGGTGCCCCCAAGTGGCAATATGAATAAACTGCAACATTCAGGTGCAAGAGTTAGAACACACACACACACACACACACACACACACACACAAACACACACACACACACACACACACACACACACACACACACACACACACACACACACACACACACACACACACACACCACAGTTATTACCTTTTGACAATTTTTTTTACTAAGTCTATAAATGACGAACCTGTATGTCATAAGAGCCACTAATAACTGTCCTACATCCCAGCTCTGATTCATAGTGTACCCAAGTCAGCCCTTTAATATTAGCTGGGTGCCAGTAGCTCACACCTGTAATCCTAGCTATTGGGGAGGCTGAGATCTGAGGATCACAGTTCAAAGCCAGCCTGGGAAGGAAAGTCTGTGAGACTCTTATCTCCAATTAATCACAGAAAAATCCAGAAGTGGCACTGTGGCTCAAGTGATAGAGTGCTAGCCTTGAGTACAAAGCAGCTCAGGGACAGTGCCCAGGCCCAAAGCTCAAGCCCCGGGACTGGTAAAAAAAAAAAATTAAAATTAAAATAAATTAACATTAACACCAGGAATCATCTAACAGGTAAGGAAGGGAGCTCCTTCTTTATCAGTTCAAAGGCTTGGGCGTATGTCTCCAAACCAATGAAGGGATCTGACCCACTCTGATGTATTAAGAAAACGCACTCAGCCATGAGCAAATGGCTTACATTTGTCATCCTAGCTACTCAGGAGGCTGAGATCTGAGGATCAGGGTTTGAAGCCAGTACCTGAAAATCAGAAATGGTGTTGTAGCCCACAGTGGTAGAATACTAGCCTTGAGGGAAAAAGCTCAGAGAAAGCATCCAGGATCTGAGTTCAAGCCCTAGGACTGACAAAAACAAAGAAAACTCACTCACAACATCATATAAATCTTTTTTTTAGCAAATATTCATCTTTTGCCCACTTTAGTATTAACTAATTCCCTGTTTGTAGCTTAACATTCTATCTAACCAAATTAGGTTGGATCATAAGTGGTGCTAATAATGTGGTTTATTCAAATACTAAAGGTTCAGCCATTGACACTTGGGGAGGAGAAAAACTTAAAAAGTAATAACACGTTAAATCTAACAATCACTGGTGAGTTGTGTCTGGCACAGCTAAAAGAATTCACATTCTGAATATCAGCAATAAGAAATCAAATGACAGATGACAATGGCACTGCCAGTCTCAAGAATGATCACTGAAGAAGTTTTAAATCACAAACCTGCTCTCCAATTACTCTGCTTGAGAAAATGTTTTTCTCTCTTAAATACCAGAATGTAGAAGAAAAACTTTCATCTAGAGGAGAGTTTCAACTGCAATCACTGGATGGTTACTAGCTAAAGTTTTATTCATTTCTTTTTCGTTTTTTTCCCTGTGTGTGCACACATGCTGATACGAAGGCCTGGACACTGTCAGCTTTTTCGCTCAAGGCTGATGTTCCACTACTTGAACCACTGCTTCTGACTATAGATTTTGAAAATACCTTCCACAGAAAAAGCAAAGAAACTGGTTGGAGGCATGGCTCAATTGGTAGAGCACTAGCCAATGAGCAAAAACATCAGGTACCAAGTTCAAGTTCAGGTCTGGGTGGGGGGAGGCAAAGAAAATTAATGCCACATTTCTTTTAGTATACACCATTTACCTCCAATGTGAATTACTGTTTATTTCATCACATTTGTTAAAAAAAAAAAAAAAAAAAGTCTTTTCTCATTCAGGAAGTCCCAATCAAGTGAGTGGAAAAGAATCTTGTAATTGAGACTGGGATATATGCGAATGCAAATTTTATTTTCATATAATCTAGAGCATTTTGCTTTTGCTATGTGATTTGGATATTTTATTCACAGCTGAAATGCTTGTTTTTCTTTTTTGTCTGGTGTGGGGCCTGAACTCTGGGCCTGGGTGCTGTCCTTCAGCTCTTCAGCTCAAAGTGAGCGCTCTACCACTTGAGCCACAGCGCCACTTCCAGCTTTTTCTGCTTATGTGGTGCTGAGGAATCAAACCCAGGGCCTCGTGCATGCAAGGCAAGCACTCTACCCCTGAGCCACCTTCCCAGCCCAGATGAAATGCTTTAAAAAAAAAAAAAAAACTTTTAAAAGCATCTCAAGTTTTAAACGGGTGTGTAGTTCAGTTGTATAGCACTTGCCGGACACACTTGCCACCTTGGAGGTAACAAGATCCTCTCTCTGTCCCTCCCTCCCTTCCCCCCCCCACTCAAACACACCTTATTCATAAAGATCAATGAACTTTTCTATCTATGGTAGCTTTTACAGGAAGTGTGGCTCAAGTGGTAGAGCGCCTGCCTAGCCAAGTTCAAAGTCCCTGAGTTCAACTCCAGTACCACTAATAAACATTATGGCCAGTACTCGGTATCCTGATCAGCCTGTAGCTGCACATAAACTCGAGATCTGTAGGAGGCATCTTTACTTACAGTTCCTCTCCTCGTTTGGCCTTCTTGTCTGAAACCAGATAGACAGTTCCGAAGCTCCCACTGCCCAGTTTCCGTTGAAGTACATATCTTCTGGCAATCAAGGCCTGTGGATGAACGGGAACATCTGCTGATCGATTCCCACACTTAGCAGTCTCTTGGAACTTCAGCATTGCTGAAATGTTATTCACTCATGTAAATTTGTCATCCAGGTCTCCTCTGATGCTTAAATTCATCCAAGAACACCTGAAACCGGCAAAGTCCACAAGATCAGGTTTAAAAGATGCTACAAGATTCCTAACACGGGAGGGTGCTGATGGCTCAGACCTGTCTTCCCAGCTACTTAGGAGGTTGAGCTCTGAGGATCATGGCTTGAAAGCCGGCACAGGCAGGAAAGACTTATGAGAATTTTTTATCTGCCAGTCCTGGAGTTTGAACTCAGAGCCTGGGCACTGTCCCTGAGATTCTTTTACTCAAGGCTAGCATTCTACTATTTGAGCCACAGCACTACTTCCAGCTTTTTCTGTTTATATGGTACTGAGGAATGGAACTGAAGACCTCATGCATGCTAGGCAAGCACTCTACCACTGAGCCACCTTCCCAGCCCCTTATGAGACATTTATCTTCAATAAACTACCAAAAAAGTCAAAGTGGAGCTGTGGCTCCAGTGGTAGAGTGTTGGCCTTGATCAGGAAAAGCTGAATGAGAGCACAGAGCCCAGAGTTCAAGCCCCACTACTGGAGCAAAAAAAAGAAATGTAAATTAAAGTAATGGTTTGCTTTTTAATGACCTGAAGAGAAGAATCATGTAGAGATACTGAAAATTCCAAAGAAAATCTTTGCATATCCAAATTTGTTGAAACTGAGTTATAGCCATAGTTCCACAAACTTCAGGGATAAATATGCTTTTATAGTGAACATGAACAGCCTGTTTAAGACTTATACTCCCTACTAACTCTTTAAAATACTCCCATATTTAACAGGGGAACATAAATCTATACTCTTGGGTCACCTTTGTGCGTGTGTGTGCATGCATGCACGCACACACGCGTGCCATAGCCCTGACTTTTTCAACTTGGCACTCTACCACGTGAGCCACAGATCCGCTCTCAGCTTTTTGGTGATTAAAGAACATTCTCACGGACTTTCCTGCCTGGGATGGCTTCAAACCAGAATCTTCAGATCCTCAAATCTGAGTCTTCTGAGTAGCTAGGATGATAGGCATGAAGTCTGGTGATGTATCTACATTTTTTGCTTTTGTTTTGTTTTGGTGGTGGTGGTGGTGATGGTGATTATGGGGCTTGAACTCGGAGCCTGGGCCCTGTCTCTGAGATCTTCAGATCAAGGCTAGTGCTCTACCATCTGAGCCACAATGCCACTTCCAGTTTTCTGAGGGTTCATTGGAGATAAGAATCTCACAGACTTTCATGCCCTGGGCTGGCTTCGAACAGCGATCCTCAGATCTCAGCCTCCTGAATAGGATTACAGGTGTGAGCCACTGGTACCCAGCTCTGTATCTACATTTTTTTTTTTAATGTACTTTATGTCTAGTCTGGCTTATAAAGAGTAAGTTGAAAGCCAAACAAAGTAGAATGGTGGCTAGTTTTCCTCAGACTTTTAAATTAGTGTTTGCATTTATTAGAATAGAAATAAGGATACAACTTCAGAGTGAATACTTTACCATCCTGGGCAAATTCTGATCCAGTTTCTGCAGTTTTTCTTATACAATGGAGTAGAGTAATCTCCCTGGATTAGAAGTAGCATAATGCAATTCCAACCGAAAATTGCATTTTAATGTTAGCTGAATATATATGTATTAGAGGAAAATAGTAATTCGAGGAGTTAAAAAATTCATGGCCGAGTTATGAAAAGCAGAAATATGTCATATGAGGTTTACAGTAAAAACCATTTTTGCTTTGTAAAAATGTGCAAGGTCTTCTTGGAGTGATTTTGTTCTAGAAAAGATGTTTTTTTAATTGAAGACCACCTGTGCCTTGGTGTTAGACTTCCATATTCAACAATTCTAAAGCAAAGACAAAGCTATTGTTTATGTCATGTCAGCTAACCACCAAAAGCCACCACAAAAATTCCCAAAGCAGCTAGCTGCTGCTTCATGCCTATGTGGGGAGGCAGAAATCAGGAGGACTGCTGTTCCACACCAGCCTTGGCAACAACAAACCAACAAACCATGAAAACCACCAGGAAGATCACAATCTAGGGCTGGCCTAGGCAAAAAGTATGGCCCTATCTTAAAAATGGCAAGACTCAAGAGCCTCAAGCAGTACAGCATCTATCTAGAAAACTCCAGTACCAAAATCATCATCATCATCATCATCTCAAAATAGGTCAGGGATGGTATCAGACACCTATACGTAAGTACGGGGAGGAAGTGGCGCTGTGGCTCAAGCGGTAGAGCGCTCACCTTGAGCTGAAGAGCTGAGGGACAGCGCCCAGGCCCTGAGTTCAAGCCCCACGACTGACAAAAAAAAAAAAGAGTCTCGAGTAAGTACGGGGAAGTCTAAATAGGAAGATCAATATTTGACTCCCACCTGAAATAAAAACCAATAAAAGTCTGTGGGTGTGGCTCACACTGTAGAGCACCCACCTGGCCAGCACCAGCCCTAAGTTCTAACAAGTGGATGGACACAGCCAGGCCCTGAGTTAAAAGCCCAGAACCACTAAAACAATAATAATAATAATAATCAGTTAATTTTCATCAGATGCCAATGAAATAACCCACCCTCAAGAAATGCTAGTAAAATCTACCAAAAACAAAAACTGGAACACAGGCTTCTAAATGAACACTTTTTTCTTTTCTTTTTGGTGATATCAGAACCTCATACTTGCTAGGCAATTACCTGTGCTTTCCTGCTCAAGGCTAGCACTCATCACTTTGGGCCACAGATCCACTTCCGGTTTTCTGGTGGCTCACTGGAGATTTTCTGCCTGGGCTGGCTTTGACCTACGAACCTCAGAGCTCAGCCTCTTGAGTAGCTGGGATGACAGGCGTGAGCCACCAGCACCCAGCACTCTACATGTGCTTTCCCTCCTCTAATTGTAAAGGTGATATACAGAGGGGTTAGTTACATAAGGTAATAAGCACATTTCTTGTTGAACATAGTTTCCCCTTCCCTCATTTTCCTCCCACTTTCCCTCCCCCGTGACTTCCCATCCCCAAGTTGTAAAGTTCATTTCCAACATAGTGTCTTGTATTGCACTGGTATTGCAATTGCAGTCTCACCATTATGTCATTCCCCTTCCCTTCCCCAAATCAGACACAGAGTACCAAAATAAAACACAGTGACAATAGGGGATAAACCACAAGTTGAGGGTATGTGGGGGGAAACAAAAGAAATAGTGTCACACAGTACATTAAAAACAAAACCACCAAAAAAACCCAAAACCACCTCTTATTTTTGGGCTGGGAATGTGGCTTAGTGGTAGAGTGCTTGCCTAGCACGTATGAAGCCCTGGGTTAGATTCCTCAGTACCACATACACAAGAAAAGCCAGAAGTGGCCCTGTGGCTCAAGTTGAAGAATACTATAGTCTTAAGCAAAAGCAGCTTAAGGACAGCGCCCAGGCCCTGAGTTCAAGCCCCAGGACTGGAAAACAAAACAACACAAAAGCCTCTCATTTTCATATCTTGGAGTTCATTTCGGTTAGTATCATTTCATATATTCATACCTACATTGGTTTCTTCACTGTCATAAAAGTGATGCTCTCTGGGCTGACAGCCTCTTCCATTGAAGGAAGCCCTTTGGATCCTGCCATCATTTTTGTTTTGGATGGAGATTAAGGTCCTTGTTTAGCCACAGACAGGACTGGAGATGGACAGAACAGTTGTGGGAAGTCCAGAGCCCCCAGGGGTCTTGTTCATAAAAGAGAGTGTAGACCCACAGCTGTGCTGGGATGGTTGGTTGGCTCTGGGCTGAAGAGGTCTCTGGTCCCGTCTCATATACTCAGTCCTGCCACTTCCATCTTAGTCCATGTGTGAGCGGCCCCTCTCCTCAGTCTCTTCCTTGCACCAAAGAACTACTCACAAGGAACCGGGGCATGGCTCAAGTGGTGAGCACTTGCCTAGCGAGTGCAAGGCCCTGAGTTCAATCCCCTCCAAAAAAAAAAAAAAAAATCATGAATTCTCATAGAACTATCCAGGAAAGGACCCTCCCACTATCTAAGTGCCAGAGCTACCAGTTCGCTTGTAAACACCACCCTCCCCTCAAGGAGGGTTTGAATGTTAGGGGGCACACCTTCTCTATCTTTGTACCCCAGGAGTCTGGCCACAATGGCCTACAAGTGCCAAGTGTCCCTGTGGGGACAGGTAAGTATCTAGCAGTCCTGCCACGGAGGGGGAAAAGAAAAGGGAAGAAAGGAGGATGGTACCTTGGAAAGGAGGAGGAGGGAGGCGGAGAAAGAGGAGCAGGAGGAAAAGGTGGAAGAAGAAAGAAGGAAGGAAGAGCTGGGCGCCAGTGGCTCACACCTGTCATCCTAGCTACTCAGGAGCCTGAGATCTGAGGATCACAGTTCAAAGCCAGGCCGGGAGGAAAAAGTTGGTGAGACTCATCTCCACTGAACCAGCAGAAAACCCAAAGCTGTAGAGCTCAAGTGGTAGAGCCCTAGCCTTGAGCTGAAGAGCCAAGGGACAGCGCCCAGGCCCAGAGTGCAAGCCCCATGAGTGACAAAAAAGGAGGAGGAGGAGGAGGAGGAGGGAAGGAAGGAAGAAGGAAAAGCCAGTCTGTAATCCTTGCTACTCAGGAAGCAGAGAGCTGAGGATCACAGTTCTAAATCGGGCGGGGGGGGGGGGGGGGGGGGGGGGGGGGGGGGGAAGTCTGTGAAACTCCTATCTGCTCTTAAACACCAAAAAAAGCCACAAGTGGTGCTGTGGCTCAAGTGATAAACACACACACAAACAAAGCTCCAGGACCATGAGTGCCCCGGGGCCTTAAGTTCAAGCCTCAGAACCTGTGCAAAAAAAAAAAAAAAGAGGAGAGGAGAGAGGGCAGGAGTAGGAGAGGAGGGAAGGGACGGGGAGGAGCAGGAGAGGTCAGGGGAAGGGTGGAGAGTAGGAAAGCAGGAGAGGGGAGGGGAGGAGATGGGTGGAGAGGAGAGGGGAGGGGAGGACAGGAGAGGGGAGGGGAGGGGAAGGGGAGGTAAAGAGAGGGGAGGGGAAGTAAGGAGAGGGGAGGGGGAGGGGGGGAGGGGAGGGGGAGGGGAGAGGAGAAGTGAAGGGGAAGGGAGGGGAAGGAGGGGAAGGGGGAGGGAGAGGGGAGGAGGAGAGGAGGGGGCAGAGGAAGGGGAGGGGAGGGGGAGGAGAGGGGAGGGGAGGGGGAGGAGAGGGGGACGGGAGGGGGAGGAGAGGGAGAGGGGAGGGAGAGGGGAGGGGAGGGGAGGAGAGGGAGAGGGGAGGGGAGGAGAGGGAGAGGGGAGGGGAGGAGAAGGGGAGGGGAGGATAGGAGAAGGGGAGGATAGGAGAGGGGAGGGGAAGGGGAGGGGAAGGGGAGGGGAGGGGGAGGGGAGGGGAGGACAGGGGAGGGGAGGGGGGAATGGGAGGGGGAGGGGAGGGAAAGGGAGGAAAGGGGAGGGGAGGGGAGGGGAGGGCCGGGCCCCTGGCCGGAGCCAGACCAGGGAAGTGTTTGCCAGACCCCCGAAACCAAAGTAACCCAGGGGCAGCAGGTGGGGCACTGGGGAGTCCAACCTCCGGAGGGGAAGCTTCACTCTGAGGTGAAAGGAACGACTTGCCCCGCCTCTCCACCGACGGGGCGGCCTTCCCGCCGAGGCGGAGCGCGAACACACACACACACACACACCCCCGGGTCGGGGTGGGGGTGACGCGGGCGGGGACCCCCCCCACTCCGGACGGCCCAGCCCTGGGGCCTGCTCCTCCTCACCGGGCCTCCCCGAGCTGCCCGGGACCGCGGCCGCCGGCGCAGCTGCCGCTCCCGCGCTCCCGCGCTCCCCGAGCCACGCGCGCCCCGAGCCACGCGCGCCCCGAGCCACGCGCGCCCCGAGCCACGCGCGCCCCGAGCCCCGAGCCACGCGCTGGGCGCGGCTGTTTGACGCCGTCGCCGGGGAAACGGCGCGAGGCACGCCGGGAAGCCGGGGGGGGGGGGGCGCGCGCGGGTTGTTTGGCGCCGTCGCCCGGGAGACGGCGCGCAGCATGCTGGGAAGGCGGGCGAAGCCGCCAGGCCCGCGGACGTTAACGCCCCAAATGGGCGGGAGGTTGGGAAGCATGGCGGCCTTGTCGGCACGTAAGTCCTTAAGAGAGAGAGAGAGAGACGGCGACCATTTCGGAACGTCTTGCTTAAGAGATGTGGCCATCTCCATTCATTCCCGTCGCCGCGTTGACGGTCTGGGGCTTCTTCGAGCCGGGCTTCCCTGTGACGTCATACGCAAGGACTTCCGGGTTCCTCTTCCCGTCTCTCTCCCGCCCCCCCCACCCTTTCGCGCTCCTGGGACTTATTTCACGCAGCTGGCCTGTCAATCCCAGCCTAGGCTTCGAGGGACGGGCCGGTGGGACTTATTTGGCGCGCACCCGGCCTCCTCCAGGCTCGGGGCGGGCCTTTGGGCCCAGGCGGGCCGCGGATGGCTGGACGGGGCTTGGCTGGTCCTGCGGGAGGACGAAGCAGGTGGGCTCTGCGGTTCCCGCGAGCGGCGCCCGGGGTCGGTGAGGGTGGGGGGGTGGCGGGAAGGCCAGCGTGGGAGCCGTTCTGTGCACGCGGGGCTCTGTGATGGTGCTCACCCTAGACCCAAACCTTGGGTGGAGACGGCGGGGCTTCGATGCTGGGATCGGGGCCGGGGGGGGGGGGGGGGAGACGCCCCCCCAGTGTGCAATGCAGGATCCATCTTCATGGGGGGCGGGGGTGGGCAGCTCTGGGAAGGTGGCTCCCTGGTAGAGCGCCCGCCTCGCGTGCACGAGGCCCTGGGTTCGAGTCCTCAGCACCACCTCAGCAGAAAAAAGCCGGAAGCGGCGCTGCTGGGGCTCAAGTGGTAGAGTTGAGCCAAAGCAGCTCAGGCCCTGAGTTCAAGCCCCAGGACTGGCAACAATTAAAAAGGAAAAAAAAAATAATAATCAAGATGCACAAAGGCCATGGCTGAGAAAAAGAGTTGAGACAAAGACCAGAATAGCCACAGTGCCATGCTCAGCCAACGTTGGGAGCCTCTTCCTCCTCCTCCTCCTCCCTCTCCTTCTACCTCTTCCTCTTCCCCCCCTCCATCCTTTTGTCCTATGTGGGACTTGAACTCGCGTCTGGGCACTGTCCCTGAGCTCTTCTGGTCAAGGCTATATCACTCTACCAATTTGAGCCACAGCCCCACTCCCCCCCCCCCTTTATTTATTTGGGTTTTGTTTTGTTGGAGTGGTTCATTGGAGAGACAAAGTTCACAGGGACTTTTCTGACTTGCTTGGCTTCAACCCGGGGATCTTCAGATCTCAGCCTCCTGAGTAGCTAGGATGACAGGCGTGAGCCCCCAGCACCCGACAAAAGTTGGGTTTTCAGAAGCATGAAACTTCTAGCTAAGTTTTCCTGACTCCAAAACTCTGCCCTCTAATCCCCCCTTCTACCAAGAACTGAAGTTTCCAGGCTCTCATCAACAATAATAAGAAGAAACGACATGAAGAAAAACTAGAGCCCTATCATGGGTGGTACACACATCAGTAGTTTACTAAGTCCAGTGTTTTGTGGGTTATGAGGTTGATAAGGATTCCACTTTTTTTTTTTAATAGCTTAGGTCTTTGTGTTTTGACCCAACAGAACAAATACTCTTGTGTTGTGAAATGGTGACTGTTAGCTGAGTATCAAAATCTATAGAACGTCTAACTGGTGTATGAATAGTAGATTTTAACGAAGCCAGGTCTCTTTGGAATCAGGAGCAGCTTCCCTCCCTACCTAAAGATCAAAAGCTATGAAACTTCTGGTGCCTCTGGCTCATATCTGTAAACCTAACCCACTCAGGAGGCGAAGATCCTACCAATCACCATTCAAGACCAACCAGCCCAGGGAGAAAAGTTGTGAGACTCTTATCTCCAAATTAGCAGTGAACACAAGGCTAGAGACATGGCTCAAGTGGTAGAGTGCCAGCTGAGTAAGTGTAAGATCCTGAGTTTTAACCTCAGTACTGGCAAAAAAAAAAAAAATCAAATTATTGAATTTGTGTCTTACACAGAGGGAAAACAGAAAAAGAAATAAAGAGAGCTTAGCTATTATCTAAGGATCTAGATAAGAATTTTATTTAAAGAGATCTTTGTGTGTGTGTGCTGGGCTTGGGCTTGAACTCAGGGCCTGGGCACTGTTCCTGAGCTTTTGCTCAAGGCTAGCACTCTACCACTTGAGCCCCAGCAACACTTCCGGCCTTTTCTGTGTATGTGGTACTGAGGAATTGAACCCAGAGCTTCATGCATGCTAGGCAAGTACTCTACCACTAAGCCACATTCCCAGCCCTGTGCCTAACTTTTTTGTTCAAGGCTAATGCTCTACCATACGAGCCACAGCTCCACTTCCAGTCTTTTGGTGGTCAATTGGAGATACGTATCACAGACTTTTCTGCTGGGGCTGGCCTTCGAATCACGATCCTCAGATCTCAGCCTCCTGAGTAGCTAGGACTCGAGGCATGAGCCACCGGCATCTGGCCTGCAGAGAACTTTCTAAAAATCAACATTTGTGGTTGATTTACTGGTGCTGGAAGCAATGATAGGGTGCTCCAAAACCAGCACCAATTAAACAAACAAACAAACT